CCAGGACCCGGGAGCCGGAGTTTGCAGTGAGCCGAGATTGTGTCACCGCGCTCCAGCCTGGGCTACAGAGCGAGACTCTATCTCAAAAAAAAAAAAAAAATTAGCGGACTAGGGTTCACCACAAGTTAGTATAACCTCATTTTAACTTGATTACACATGTAAAGACCCTATTTCCAAAAAAAGCTCATGTCCATAATTTGTTGGGGGTTGTGTCTAGGACTTCAACATATCCTTTTTGGGGAACAAAATTTAAGAGTAACATCTCATCGTATCAACTGCCTTTTTTAAAAAGTTGTACATATACATTTTTTCCCTTTTTTTTTTATGTTTACATTTACATCATCATAGGTATTTTTAGTTCCCATGCTGTTGGCACATACATTTTTCATCCTATTTACAATTTGGGCCGGATATGGTGGCTCACGCATGTAACCCCAGCACCTTGGGAGGCCAAGGAGGGCAGATCATCTGAGGCCTGGAGTTCAAGACCAGCCTGGCCAACATGGTGAAACTCCATCTCTACTAAAAATACAAAAATTAGCTGGGCATGGTGGCGCACACCTGTAGCCCCAGCTACTCGGCTGAGGCAGGAGAATTGCTCAACCGTGGTTGGCAGAGGTTGCAGTAAGACAAGATTGTGCCACTGCACTCCAGCCTGGGAGACAGAGCAAGACTCTATTTTTAAAAAAAAGGCCGGGCGCGGTGGCTCACGCCTGTAATCCCAGCACTTTGGGAGGCCGAAGCGGGTAGATCACTTGAGGTCAGGAGTTTGAGACCAGCCTGACCAACATGATGAAACCCCATCTCTACTAAAAATACAAAAATCAGCTGGGCATGGTGGCGCATGCCTGTAATCCCAGCTACTCAGGAGGCTGAGGCAGGAGAATTGCCTGAACCCAGGACGCGGAGGTTGCGGTGAGCCGAGATTGCGCCATTGCACTCCAGCCTGGGTAACAAGAGTGAAACTCCGTCCCAAAAAAAAAAAAAAAAAAAATACACATTTTGCAATTCATAAGGCTCTTAGTACACTTGACAATGAATTTAAAACAGCCTGAAATATTCAAGCACAGTATAGACAAGGAGTAAGATGACTTTTGAGGCTCAGGATCTCTGCCAGCCAAGAACGTGTGTGTCCTACATATCCTTAGTTGGAAGTTATGGGGTGACTCCACCCTCCACCCACACCCCGGCTTCCGACTCACAAGGCCAAGCAGGTTTTCAGTAAGTGCCCTGAAGGAGCTTGAAAGTTAATTTAATTTCTATTAGTGCACCGTATAAGCACATTATAAAATGTGGGAAACAGAGAAAAAACTTCGTAGTCTCTTCTCATCTCAGCACCTTAACACAATCATTATAAGGATTTGGGGACACAGTGTACTTGTGAATTAGCAGCAGACAATAGAAAATAGATTATAATTGATGTGTGAAATTATGTGACATGGAAATATTTTCACAAAACAGTTAAGCGAAAACATTTATAATGATTTATTAATAGTAACAAATAATGTAAAATGAACTACTCATCCACACTACTTTATTGCTTTTATGGTTTGGTGTTATGTTTTACAATTTTTTTTCTTTTTGGCAATGAAGTCTTGCTTTGCTGCCCAGGCTGGGGTACAACGGCACAATCTCGGCTTACTGCAACCTCTGCCACCTGGTTCAAGCCATTCTCGTGCCTCAACTCCCAAGTAGCTGGGACTACAGGTGTGCACCACTATACCTGACTAATTTTTGCAGAGACAGGTTTTCACCATGTTGGCCAGGCTGGTCTCCAACTCTTGGCCTCAAGCGATCCACCCACCTCGGCCTCCCAAAGTGCTGGGATGGCAAGCACGAGCCACGGCACCTGGCCTGTCTTACAATTTAAACAATCTGTGTAGGGAAAGGAAAAATAAAAAGTCCTCTTTATTATCTCAGGAGGCAAAAGAATCCTAGGCCTCCCCGATAAATAGTCTTAGGCAAACAGGATGAAAACAGTAATAATACACACACGCACACACACACACACACACACACACGCAAGCACACACGCACGCACGAGCGCGAATACAATTGCCCCATGGAATTGGGGAAAAGATAGTCGTGATTTACAAGAGGAAGCAGGAACAAGATAAGATACACGTGTTGAGAAGCAGGGACTAGATAATTGGAAGACACTTTGAGTTTGCAGAAGCTTTGAGTGTTACTACTGGCATGCAGAATTATATCCAGCTGTGTAGATAATCAGTGGTTGCTGCCTTTAGTATAAGAGATATAATTTCACTCCAGCAGATAGATTTGGAAGTTGAGGGAGGCTGCATCCTTTTTATTTATTTGTTTATTTTTCTGTGATGGGGTCTGGCTCTGTCTTCCAAGCTGGAGGGTCATGGCGGGGTGTCAGCTCACTACAAGCTCCACTTCCCAGGCTCAAACCATTCTCCCACCTCAGCCTCCCAAGTAGCTGGGACTACAGGCATGAGCCACCATGCCTGGCTACTTTTTTGTATTTTTGATGGAGATGGGTTTATGGAGCCTGGGTGACACAGTAAGAACCTGTCTCAAAAAATGATAGTGAAATAAAATAAAAAATAAAAACAGAGCAACTGCAGGCCTTGGGAAGGCAGTGGAAGATCAAGACATCTGATCCAGCCTAGTCTGGTCTTCTTTTTTTTTTCCTTGAGACAGTTTCCCTCTTGTGGCCCGGGCTGGAGTGCAGGGGCGTGATCTCAGCTCACTGCAACCTCCACCTCCGAAGTTCAAGCTACTCTCCTACCTCAGCCTCCCAAGTAGCTGGGATTACAGGCATGCGCCACCACACCCAGCTAATTTTGTATTTTTAGTAGAGACAGAATTTCTCCATGTTGGTCAGGCTGGTCTCGAACTCCCAGCTTCAGGTGATCCGCCCGCCTCGGCCACCTAAAGTGTTGGGATTACAGGTGTGAGCCACCGCACCCAGCTCCTGGCCTTCTTTCTCAAACACACCTGAGCACCTTCCAATCCTTCATCCTCCAGCACCCCTCCAGCTGTTCCAGCCAGAGGCCCAGGTCTTCCTCTCTGCCCCTCCCTCTTTTTCACCCCACAGCCAATCAAGGTGAAGTCATCTTGAATATCCATAGGCTCTGTTTATTTCTTTCCATGGTCTGGGACGTCACTTCCTCTCGCCTGAACTGAGCAGGTGCCTCCTATTGCCTTCCTGCTTCCATACCTGCCCCTCTTTCATCTGTTCATTGCTGCAGCCAAAGTGCTTTCCTTGAATACAAATGTTCCCAGGTCCCTTCTTAAAGCTCTTCTTTCCATGGCTTCAAAGGGATAGATTTTTGTTTTTGATTTATTTTTGTTTATTTATTTACCTGAGACAGGGTTTCACTGTGTTTCCCAGGCTGGGGCAGTGACACCATCATAGCTCACTGCAGCCTCTGAACTCCCAGGCTCACATGATCCTCCCCACCTAAGCTTCCAGAGTAGCCGGGACTACAAGCATATGCCACAACACCCAGCTAATTTTTTATTTCTTATAGAGATGGGATCTTGCTATGTTGCCTTAGCTGGTCTCAAATTCCTGGCTTCAAGCAATCCTACCATCTCAGTCTAACAAAGTGCTGGGATCACAGGTGTGAGCCACTAGGCCGGACCCAGATTTTTATTTTTAAAAGACAAAGTCTCTGCTCTCTTTAAATGTCAGAGTTCTCCAGTTGCCCTAGCATCAAATCCAATTGCCACAGCAAAAGGGGAAAAGCGAGTGACAGTTTGTTCTTATGTCCAGATAGGGTGGGAGAGGGAGTACCCAGGAGAGCATGCCCCAAACCATCGATGTGGAGAAGGGGACAGATGGAAAGTGAGTAAGAGAGAGAAGAGAGGGAGAATGAGAAAGAGAGGCAGCCTGAGGAACATAAGTAGCAGCCCTACCACCCCGGCATACCTGTCAGGAGAATTGAAAAATGAGAAAGACCTTAGAAATCATGAGATTTCTATCAGGCCAGATACCACATTCGTTTTTTTAAACAGAGTTCGACTCTGAGCGGAGTGGCTCATGCCTGTAAGGCCCGTGCCTCCATCCTACCTGGAGAATGAAGGAGGAAGGTGCTCAATGTGTTTGAGAAAGACAAAGCTCCTTGGGAGGGTGAGGCAGGAGGACCAGTTGAGGCCAGGAGTTCGAGACCAGCCTGGACAATATAGTGAAATCCCATCTCTACAAAAAGAAAAGAAAAAGAAAACAGCCTTCTTATAGTCTGTTGTAGTTCAGCAATGCAGACTATTGTTCAGTCATAACCGGTTAGAAAAAGCAAGGTTTTTAAAAAGCACCACTCAATTAGCAACAGACATATATGTGCTTGGTGTGCTGACTCACAGCTGTAGTCCTGCCTACTTAGGAAGCTGAGGCAAGAGGAGCGCTTGAGACCAGGAGTTTGAAGTTGCAGTGAGCAGTGATGGTGCCACTACACTCCAACCTGGGCAACAGAGCAAGAACTCATCTCTGAAAAAAATAAAAATTATCAATATGCTTACCAAGGCATATGCGAAACCTCAATGAAGAATCCTGGTTGTGTCCTGAACGACATGATGGAAGAGTGATTTCTGGATGAGAAGACATCCCTCTTCCCAATTATTCTACGAACACAATGCAATTTCAATTAGATTGCTCTGAAGATTTTTTTAGGAATGTAAAAATCCCGCAGAGAACCACCCCTACCCTTTAAAATATTACAAAGCAGATATAAAGACAGTGCTAAGTAGTTCAGCAGAGCAGAGAGCTAAAGATACAGACCTCAAAATGTGGGAATGGTGTATATGATGGGGGTGGCATTTCAATTCAGTGAAGATAAAATGAATTGGAATTATGGAATAATACGTGGTTTTATTGCAATTGATTACACATTCAGAAAAAAATGTCAGTTTTCTACCTCATTATCTGCATCAAAACAAATTTCAAAATTTAACATGTTTAAATATAACTGTCAAACACATTAAAAAGTTCTTAAATCATAGGTGAGTATTTTCATCATTTTAGGATTGGACTGGATTTTGAAAGCCTGCTGTGAAGAGTAAATCCCAAGGACACATTTGTCTTCCTGGGAATATAAAAGCTTGGATCAGTAAAATACACTGCGAGCAAAGTCAAAAGACCATCCCCAAAATGAGGGGAATAGGGCAAGTAAGTGGAGCAGTTCCACCCTGAAAGTCCCTGGAATAAATTTTAAAATGGTGTATTCTTCATTTTGAACACAGAAGCCTTTCCTGGGAAACTTTGCAAGCCACAGTGCTTGGTTGGAAACGTGACAGGCCAAATTGCAACCAGAATTCTGCGATTATAAACAGAACCATTTTTGTTTCAGAGAAAAAAAAAACAGCGACAGAGAAAGGAAACTAAAAGAAAAAGAGGAAATGAATCAGTTTCGGAGCATGAGACCTCAAGCGCACAAACAAGCTTGGGAGTGGAGGTGAGTTAGTTCGGTCATCATTAGTAGGTAATTTTTTTAAGCTGTCTCTCGAGAAATATGCAAAAACCAAATACCCACATTTATCTAATTAAATGACTTTCTGGCAGGAAAGGAACACGGGATCTCCAGCCTTTGCCGGGGGCATGAGAGTTTCACCTTCTCCTTTCAAGGTCCCTAGAACTCTACCCTATGGAGCTCTGGAGCTTTGGGCTAAAGGAGGCTTGGGTCCAGCACAAATTCCTGGGCAGCTGTGGCTCCCAAGAGACACAGGAGCCTTAGGTACCCAAGCATTGTCAGTTTTGACATTGCTGCTGTCAGATATTAACTCTGATTCCTTAATGCAGGAGATAACTAAAACTAGTTATCTAGTTTTAGCCAGAAATCTGGACTTACTCCTAATTCTGCCTTTGGAAACCCAACATGTTTTTAGGCAAAGGATTGACTTCTCTGGGGCTTAGTTATCCCATCTGTTAAACAGTTGTCTTAACTCTGTGCCTACTTACTCAGTTTAGAAGATTAAATAGTAAGAGTAGATAAAAGTATGTTATAAACTATAACGTTCACATGTGGTTTATTAGTAGTATTAGGACCGAAATTTAATCAAGTAGGATGTGTTTATAAAGCTGGCATTGTGGCCAGGCGAGGTGGCTCACACCAGTAATCCCAGCACTTTGGGAGGCGAAGGCGGGTGGATCACTGAGGTCAGTTCGAGACCAGCCTGACCAACGTGGAGAAACCCCATCTCTACTAAAAAACAAAAAATACAAAATTAGCAGGGCGTGGTGGTGCAGGCCTGTAGTCCCAGCTACTTGGGAGGCTGAGGCAGGAGAATCACTTGAACTGAGGAGGTAGAGGTTGCAGTGAGCCAAGATTGAACCACTGCACTCCAGCCTGGGCAACAAGAGCGAAACTCTGTCTCCAAAAAAAAAAAAAGCTGTCCTTGCAACTGATAAAATCTGATAGTTCCAAAAATGAAAGAAAAAAGCTATTTTTATTTTTATTTACCTATTTATTTATTATTTATTTAGTTATTTGAGACAAAGTCTCATCTGTTGCCCAGGCTGGAGTTCATTGACATGATCACGGCTCACTGCAACCTCTGCCGCCTGGATTCAAGTGAGTCTCGTGCCTCTGCCTCCCATGTAGCTGTGACTACAGGCGTGTGCCACCACGCCCAGCTAATTTTTTTATTTTTAGTAGAGACTGGCTCTAGCCATGTTGGCCAAGCTGGTCTTGAGCTCCTGAGCTCAAGTGATCTGCCTGCCTCAGCGTCTCAAAGTGCCACAGGTGGGAGCCACCGTGCCCAGTGCTATACATATATATGTACACATGTAAGTGTACACATATAAGTGTACATATATGTGTGTGTACATATGTGTACATGTATGTGTGTACATATGTACACACATACATGTACACACACATTTTTAAATGAGAAACGAATAACAGCTTCTTAGAGGAGAATGGAGTGGTTGGTGGGCAGGAATAGGAGGGAGAGCTATTTTCTATTGTACACTCTTCTGTAACTTTTGAATATTTTAACGCATATGTAGGTTCATGTTAATTGCTTAAAGAATATGTAAATAAAATTCAAGTTTATGTGGACCTAGTGATTTCCTTCCCGGTTATATATTAAATAGAAATGTACGTACATGTCCACCAAAAGGCATGTCCAAGAATTTGCATAGCAGCCCTAATTGTAGCGGCCCAAGCTAGAACCCTGTCTAAAGCCCAGCCACTATAAAATGCATAAATAAATCGTAGCATTTTCCCACAGTGAAATACTATACAGCAACTACAGTAAGTGATCTATAACTACGGCAACAATGTGAATGATTATGACAAATGTGGAGTGAAATAAATCAGACACAAAAGAATACGTACTTTGTGGGTTCATTTATAAAAGGTTCAAAAGCAAGCAAAACTACTATAGGCCATTAAAAGTCCTAATAATGGTCTCCCTTAAAAGGTTTTGTAGCTTGGGGGTCAATTGATCAGAAGGGCTTCTGGAGTGTAGATAACATTCCATCTTGACTGAGGTGCTGCTGTTTGCATAGGTGTGTTCAATTTGTGAAAATTTATTACACTGTTTTCTGTATATTACACATCAACTGAAGGTTAAAAGAAATAAACAGCCGGGCGCGGTGGCTCAAGCCTGTAATCCCAGCACTGTGGGAGGCCGAGGCGGGTGGATCACGAGGTCAAGAGATCGATACCATCCTGGTCAACATGGTGAAACCCCGTCTCTACTAAAAACTACAAAACATTAGCTGGGCATGGTGGTGCGTGCCTGTAATCCCAGCTACTCAGGAGGCTGAGGCAGGAGAATTGCCTGAACCCGGGAGGCGGAG